TAGAAATAAATCAAAATTGCAGTAATTAATAAACATCTTAGACCTAACTATATGTTTTTGCAAGAGACTCACATTACAGGCAAAGACAGTCATAGACTGAAAGTAAAAGCATAGACATTGATATGCCATGCAAATGGAGCCCTAAAACAAGCAGGAGTAGCTATTATCATGTCTGAAAAAGCAGACTTCTGCCAAAATTAATCAGAAGAGACAAAGAAAATTTCTCCATAGGAATAAAGGGAACAATCCATCCAGAAGTCATGATAGTAAATATTTATATTCCAAATGTTGGTACACCTAATTACAAGAAACAGACACTAGTTGACTTAAAGAATCAGATAGATACCAGGTATGGTGACCCATGCCTGTAATCCCAGCAACTTAGAAGGCTGAGACAGGAGTATCACAAGTTCAAGACTAGCACCAGTATCTTATCCAGGTCCTAAGCAACTTAGCAAGACCCTATCTAAAAATAAAAAATGAAAAGGGCTAGGGATGTGGCTCAGTGGTGAAGTAGCTTGATTCAATCCCCAGTAATAACAACAACAACAAATCAGATAGACCCCATGACAAAAACATTGGGATATTTCAACACACTTCTATTACCAAAAGACAGGTCATCCAGGCATAAACTCAACCAAGATCCAACAGACCTAAAAAAAAAAAAAAATTGAAATCAATCTGGGTACAGTGATGCATGCCTGTAATCCTAGAAAACTGAAAGGCTAAAGCAAGAGGATTACAAGTTTAAGATCAGCTTTGGCAACTTAGCAAGACCCTGTCTCAAAATAAAAATTTAAAAACAACAGGGGGAAATGTAGCTCAGTGGTAGAGTGCCCTTAGTCCAATCCTGAGTCAACCCACACACACACACACACACACATTCGCATGCAACACACACACATCAAATGGATTTAGTGAACATCTATATAATATTGCTCCAAAACAGCCAAATTCACTTTCTTTCCAGCTGCTCATGGTACCTTCTCTGAAACAGATCATATTTTAGGACACAAAACAACTCTTATCAAATATAGAAAAATCAAAATATTTCCTTGTCTCCTTCTGACAATAATGGAATGAGATTAGAAATATGAAAATTAAAAACTATAGAAACTATATAAACATATGAAAACTAAACAATATATTTTAGAATGATGAATAAATGATAGAATAAATCAGGAAAGAAATTTTAAAATTCTTAAATAAGAATAGTGATACAACATAATAGAACCTCTGGGACATTACAAAGGCAGTTCTAACAGGCAACTTTATAGCTATGAATGCCTACACAAGAATATCAGAAAGATCCCAAATAAACAACTTAATGATGCATATCAAATCCCTCATAAAACGACAACAATGGAGCTGGACGTGGGGCTCAGTGGTAGAGCGCTCGCCTTGCATGTGTGAAGCACTAGGTTTGATCCTTAGGACCACATAAAAATAAATTAATTAAATAAAGCTATCATGTCCATCTACAATTAAATAATATTAAAACAACAAAAACAAATCCCTAAATCTGTAGAAAGAATGAACTAATTAAGATCAAAGTTGAAGTCAATGAAATAGAGATTTTTTAAAAAAAAATATGTAAGGATCAATGAAACAATGAATTGGTTCTTCAAAAAGATAAAGATTGATAAGACCTTAACCAAACTAACCAAAAGAAAAAGAAGGGCTGGGATGTAGCTCAGTGGTAATGTGCTTGCATTGTATGTTCTCATTCAGTCCCCAGCATGCATGCACACACACATACACAAAGGAAAAGAAATACAAGAAAAAGACAGAAGACCCATATTAATAAAATTAGAAATGCAAAAGGAGATATCACCATAGACATCACAGAAATCCAAATGATCATTAAAAACAATTTTGTAAATTTTTACTTCAACAAATTGGAAAGTATATAAGAAATGGATATGACCTGCCAAAATTGAACGGAAAGGATATATAAAACCTAAACAGATCAATAACAAGCAATGAGGTAAAAGCATTTAAAAAAAAAAAAAACAACAAAGAAAAGTCCAGGGGCTGGGGTTATGGCTCAGTAGTAGAGTGCTCGCCTAGCATGTGCATGGTACTGGCTTTGATCCTCAGTACCACATAAAAATAAAATAAAGTATTGTGTCTAACAACTAAAACAAACTAAACTAAAACAAAATATTTTTTAAAAAAAGAAAGAAAAAGAAAAAGTCCAGGACCAGATGGATTCTCAGCTGAATTCTACTTGATCTTTAAAGAAGAACTAATACCAATGGTCCTCAAATTATTCCATAAAATAGCAATGGGTGGAAGCCAGTATCACCATCATACTAAATCCAGCTAATGACATACCAAGGAAAGAAAACTACAGATCAATAGCCTTGATGATATTAGATGTAAAAATAGTAGCAAATCATATTCAACAACACAGTAATGAGACTGCTTCATTCCCCAATACTTGAGTGCATATCTCCTAAAACAAAGGCATTCTCCTAAATAATAACAATTCAGGAAATTTAGCATTGATAAAACAGGATTATCTAATAAATGGGCTAAGTTAAAATTCCCAATCATTTCAACACTATTCTTGAAAGTTATTCCTTCCCCCAACCAGAATCTAATCAAGTGCTGTAGT